CCTCATTTTCGGCTGTTAAAATAATTGTGGGACACCCTGTATATAGAGATCTTATTCTAACTGTTTACAATGTATTTGCACGACTATTATTTAACTTGTAAGCGGCCAGGGAACCGTACTCGCCTACCCGAATGAGTACGAATGGATTCTTGCGTACAAGTTGCTGGGGTGTGTGAGCTATGCACGTTGTTCGGAGCTCTCTTCTCATGCTCCCCTGTCTCGTCTTCTAGTATGTAGACGGCTTTGAGCCTGTCGATTAAAACGATAGTCTCCTTGCCTTTAACCCGCACTACGATTGTTTTTGAATTTCGAAATACGACTGGGAATGGACCATTGTAAGGATTTTGGAGAGCAGTACGCATCGCTTCTGCTATAACGAAGATGTGCGATGTTGATTGTAAATCCTTAAAAACAAATATTCTCCTTTGTCCCTGACGTGAACCATTCACCCGTCGTATCTCCCTAAAGTGTTCGCGGAGTAATTCCACCGGATCGGATTCCTGACTCGACTCGTCGCGAAATATCTCTGCCGGTAAGTGTATACTTTCGCCGTATACCAATTCGATATCAGATGAAATAAGGTCATCGTGGTACGCGGCGCGGATACCTTTTCTTTTTTTTTGTTTAACGTGGGGGAAATCTGCTGGTCAGACACCCCCGTCCCGCCCAAGGGGCGGGGCGGGGGTAGTGCGGGTTTTGACCCGCTAAAACCCCCACGGCGGCCTAGGGCGCTGGCGAGTAGCGGGGGAGCCACGGGAACTCTCACAGAACACAACCGCGGCTCCCCCTCGCCTGGCCGGCCACCAGGATGGAATGGCGGTGGCCGGCCGCGTCCCGGGGGGCGGCGCGGATACCTAGGAGAACGGCAGGTAACGGATCGATCCACCGTCGACGCATCACTTTATCGCCTTACTTTTAGCCTTAAACTGTCGATGGAAGTGTTCCACAAGACCGTTCGCTGCGGAGTGGTAGGCTGTTGTCTTCAGGTGTGAGCATCCGAGCAGTGAATTTAACTGTTCAACGTGATAGGACTCAAATTGCCGGCTTTGATCCGTGATAATTCTTGTCAGTGTCCAAAAACACGCGATTTACCCCGAAACAAAGGTAAGCGCGACAGTTTCGACCTCGATATTTTCGAGCGAAAAAGTTTCTGGCCATCGCGTAATCCTATCGACGGAGTGTTTATTGCCTCTCGATGCAGGTACTGGTCCTACCAGGTCGAGTTGCAAATGCATACCTACTCGACGATGACGCGAAGGTGCCCGAAAAATACCGACTCCACCCTCAGCAATCTCTCTCCATTGACGGCCAAACGAAACACTGTTTTATCAGACGAGTTGTCGCCTTTGTACCTGGGTGCGACGATCCGTGTACAGCGTCAAAAACTTGGCGTCGGAAGGGAGATGTCACATACAGACGCACGCTTCTAGTTAAAACATCGCAGTAAATGGGTGCGACATCGTCGTTGTTTATATGAATACGTTTTAATTCCAATGAGGTATTAGACGCGTCCAAGAAACTTTGTAATTCCGTATCTCGCTCTTGCGAGTTCGCTGATTCCGCGTAATTCATTGTCTTCTCCGTTAACGTGCTGGATGTCCATCGTGACTTGACCGATAAGGTCGGGGTATCGGAACTGCCTCGAAGTACATTTATCCGGTTTTTGTTTAAACGCGAACACTATTGGCTTATGGTCTGTACAGATTGTGAATTTGCGACCCTCTACCGCGTGGCGGAAATGTTTAATCGCGGTATAAACGGCGAGCAATTCGCAATCGTATGCGCTATACTTTCGCTGTGCAGGCGACAAGCTTGTCGCAGGGCTTGCAAAATGCTTAGGCCCTTTATAATGACGAAATCTAATGTGTCTGGCGTTTTGTCATAAGCTGTCGGCAAATATGTTGGTTCTCCAGTGGCAATTGCTTCTAAATCGCGAATCTAAATTGCATCTTAATCGCGAAAAATATATAATATCGCGCACTACCACGGTTCTAGACGCAAAATCGCAACGTTAGCACACTGCAAGGGNAATATGTTGGTTCTCCAGTGGCAATTGCATCTAAATCGCGAATCTAAATTGCATCTTAATCGCGAAAAATATATAATATCGCGCACTACCACGGTTCTAGACGCAAAATCGCAACGTTAGCACACTGCAAGGGTGAGGCGAATGAGCTTCTTGGAGCGTGGAGATTGTCAATGTTGAGGAAATCGGTACTCGCATACGATAGTCATTTGTTCACGATATACGATGTTACCGGTTTCCAGTTTTAGTGCGTCCGTATGTATGATTACTTCGATATTTTGCGCGTAAAATCTGTGTCGCGGTTTATATGGACTGGTAACAGACGACCGCGTCAGTTTCTTAAGTTGGAATTTACGACCCGCGTGCTTGGGCATTGAATGCCGCTAGTACATGCGTGAATTTGAAACGAGTCTTTCCTTTACAACCTCTGAGACGAGCAGGACATTCTGGGATAGTTTGTCACACACGTCAGAGGAAGCGTGATGTTTAAGAATGTTGCAATTTCGTACCGCGCATTCTAGGTGAACTCAGGACGTACAAACTCGCAATATCGCGTATCTAATTCTTGAATAGCTGAATTTCACTGAAGTCGAGGTGTTAGGATGTAGTAGATCAATGCTTGTATAATACTAAAATCTAATATATTTTAAAGATTAAATGAGTTACACAATTACAACGTATAAAAACTACCGCGAGAATTAGAACTTGGAACAGAGTTTGAATTGAAGAGATCGTTACTCGTTGGAGCTTGGCGCGAGACTACTGGATCTTGTGGCTGCATGGATCTGTTTCGATTCGTGGCGCTGTTGTTCAGGGGTCGTTGGAGTGGGTCAACTGGTGTAGTAGAGACTCCGCAGAAGTATGGATGCCGCGGAGCATCCTCGAGGATACTAGGTGGGCGTCGCTCGACGATTTACAATTCACGGACGAATATAATAGTTAATATAAAATAGGATGATGTTGTTAAATGTGTTTATTCGTATGTGTAAGTCATCGGTGATCGGTAATAGGTCTATATTGGTAACTATATTAATGGTCCGTAAGTAATTACCAGTATCTATAATCGGTCGGTAATGTAGATATATGTTGGCAATTGTATCTATGGTCGGTAAGTATATCTGTAGTTCGTAAAGTATCGGTAATCTGTAGTCGGTGATGTATCGATAGTTAGAAGTGCCAAGTACATAAGATAAGTTATCGATATAGTCTGTGTTCCATAATGTTAATATAGTGTGTTTAACCTAATATAAGAAGTATACTTATATAACTAATTCAATATGTCGGGGAGACGTAACACTGTAGAGATATGCATTTGGTATCCTACTTCTTGGTGACGTTGTTTTCGATCCCTAGTTTGAAAGCTTAGCGTTATAGTCTTCGGCAGCAATGAATATGTTCCCTAATGATTGGAAAAGTTTGTCCTATTTGTTTGTCGTTATTTTAAATTTTGGTGGTGCATGGATGGCTGATTTGAACAGAACTGTTATGGATTAATATGGTTATTGTGGTAGCTTGCAGATATTTGTGATTTGTATTACTATGTAAGTAATGTTTAATATTATTCTTGATAATTATAGCAGTTGCTCCATGTGATTTCTCAGACAGATGTTTTGTATCGTAAATAGCGTAGTGAGGTATTTTTATGTAGCTTTTGTGAGTAAAATGTGTTTCTGGGACCATTAGAATATCTATATTGGACGTATATAGAAATGCTTTCGTTTCTTGTATTCTATGTTGTAATCCGTTGCTGTTAAAGACTGCTATATTAAGTTGCATATCCATTATTTATTGTTTAAAGCTGTTCGTTAAAAGTTGTAACATGTTAGTGATCTGTTGGGTTTGTTTGTTGTTTAAGTATCGCATTTTGTTCTATTATCATTTTTATTAAGTCTTCTGCGTTTCTAATCGATTGTTTAAGTAGTTGTTTGATATCTGATGCTTCTACTAGCTTGTATTCTTCCGAAATTGTATGTGTTCCTTTAACAGCTTCAATATAAGTTTTTGTTTTGGCATGGGTTATTATGTAGTATTGTGTTGACTTCTGTTTATACGGTTTGCCATTTGAATCGGGAATGGCTTCATCTAACGTTTTTTCCCTTAAAGTTTGGGTATATTTTTTGTTGTAACTGTTTTCGTATATAGCTTCCTTTATAGCTTGCCGGATGGTCTCTCTTGTAGTTTACGCATTTCACAGTATCTATTTTGCCTTGTTGGGAGCAATGTACTGTTAAATGTCTTTGTATACATTTAACACAAGTATTGTGGTATATTTCTTTTTGGTCTAGGTGATTCTACTTTTATTAACATAATAATTATTAAGTAATTGTTGATTTTGTAGATATAATTGTTTTCTTTTGGTTTAAGTTTAATAAAAAATAATGATAACGGTTGTTTGGTGTCGCATTTAAATATGTTGTTTAATGAACTTACTTACTTGTGGTTTAGTTTATTTGATGCATCAATTATTTTAGTTGTGTTTGTTTTAGGATGTAGCCCACGCATTACTACTTTGTAGCTTCTTTCATTTTTTTATTGGTACGTGTGATATCCCGCATTTTTTTTCTTTTCAGTTCCACTCGAACAGTAGAACGTGAAAGACATGTTGTGGACTGTTCCCGAAGTAAACACACAAGTGTCTGTGTGTGATATGTGAGCTTAGCGACGGTTACTCACTGTCAATAATACCAACATGGATCAAACCGTTGAACAATTAGAATATTCGCCAATGGCAATAATTATTCCATAGATAAAAAAACCCAAATGTGTCAAGCCAACAGCAAAGAATTCAAAATCAAAGTAAAATGAACATTAGCGAGTGGAGTAGCTCAACAAATAGCGAAGAAAATGTTAATCAAATAACAGATAATGATAAAAATAACACCTGGAACTAAGTCATTTCAAATGAAAAGCGAGAATTAATTCCAATGGCAAGCATAAACGAAACGCAACAATGGCTGCAGGACATCCCGTTAAACAATTCATTTAGTTCACTCACAGAAGAAGTCGACATGAACACAACTGAAGAAAACACTCTTCATGCTGTGAAACCGCCTCCAATTTACAGTGACTCGCATTAATATTCGGACATGATATTGTTACAGTTTTAAGTTTTATCAGGACAATGATCCTAAACACAAGGCCAGAATTGTATAGGAATATTTATTATACAAGTGTCCAAAAGTACTGCATCCTCCTCCTCATTCCCCTGATTCAAATCCGGTTGAAAATTTATGGGATTAATTGGACCGCAAAATTCGTACAACACCTACAAGGACAACAATAGAGATAAAACAACGTTTCTTAGACGAATGGAAACGGATTTTGCCGGATTATTGTACACTTCGTAAAATAATCTACAACGACCAGCACATACTTGTTACGAGCCAAAAAATTCGGAAACGGTCGCAAGAGAGGCCTATGTCTCCCCTCCTTCGAATTTTTTCCTTGCGACACAAGTATATCATCGATGACACCTGTCCCAATATCCTTGCGATTATGAGGCCAATAAAACTTCCGACGTAAACTGTCCGAAGTTTCATTTACTCCGAAATGGCTGTCCGCCGGTGTATCATGACAATCTGCCGTCACCAAGCTCACCATTTCTTTTGGAACCACCAGTAACCATTAACTTCCTTTTCCATCAAGAAATTCCCATTTATGAAACAATAGATCCTCGTATATCTCCAAGAAATCCCATATGAGATATTTCATTTTCGAATCCCTATCAGAAATCTTCTGCCAATCCAGCCTCCTGTCCTCCTTTTTCGATAAGATGAAGCAGACTTCTTTATCCTCCTCTTGCTTTCTTCTCCATTCTTCGAAATTCAATGTTTAGCAGAATCGCCAGTTTCTTCTTTTTTTTAACGTGGAGGAACTCTGCTTTAGAGACACCCCTAGCGCCTGGGGGTGCAAGGCAGGGGTAGTGTGGGTTTTGACCCACTAGAACCTCCACGGCGACTTTAGCACGCATTGCCACAACTGGTGATTCGGGGGAATCACGGGAACACTTAAGTACACTACCGCGGCTCCCCCCGCCCAACCGGCCATCCAGTGATGGCTAGCCGCGTCCCAGGGAGGAGTTCAATTCCTCCTCCCTATAAGCAGTATATAAGCAGTGCGGGGAGGCCGCGCCCATAAACCGCACCACGCCTAGGTACAGGCGGCGCACCGGACCACTAGGCCCCCCAAAGATTGTTCAGTAGGCGGCCAAGAGAGGCCACCGCCCTCTCCACCCGGGGAACGAGGCGGCCGAAATGCGCCCCGAATCGCCAGTGGCTGTCGAGGATGAGACCGAGATATTTCATCTCGGATCTCACCTCGACTCAAGCTCCTCCCACCCGGACCCACAACCCAGCCGGTGGCCTTGACCGAGGCCGCCCAAACCATATGTCCTCGGTCTTCACCGGGGCTATCTTCGGCGCCATGTCGTGGATCCTCGCGACGACGGCTGCCACCGCAACCTGCGCAATTCGGACGGTCCTTCCGAAGGTGCTGCCGACGGCAACCAGCAACGTGTCGTTCGCATAGCAGACGAGGGTAGCACCGTTGGGCAGGAAGACCCTTAGGACCGCGTTATAACTGAGGTCACACAACAATGGTCCCAAAATGGATCCCCGTGGGACCCTTCGGTCTACCTCCCTCCCTATCATCCCGATCATCCCGTCCCGGCCTGGATATTCTATCCACCTCTTCCGTAGGTAATCTCCGATCACAGCCCGGAGATAGGGAGGGACTTCATGATGAGTAAGGACCTACTTAATGGCGGACCAGGGCAGGGTGTTGAATGCATTGACGATGTCAAGCGACACCACCAAGCACACCCCGTCCCTTGCCACGGCATTCTCAGAGAGGGACATGACGCTACCGATGGCGTTGATCGTGGATCGTCCCTCTCGGAAATCGAACTGACAGACCACCAGATCGGGGCCGTCGCAGTACAGGTGCTTGGCGAGGCGGGCCGCAATGATCTTTTCAAAGATCTTGCTCGCCTCATCCAGCAGGCAGATAGGTCGATCGCAGAGGGAGAATCCGCGGTCCTCTCAGCCTTCCTCCCCGACCTCAGGAGAGCAGAAAAGAGGCTGCGACGCCTCTCCCCTAGGACGCTCATGGCGAGCACCCAGACCCGGCCGGGTATACCGTCCGGCTCCGGGACAGTATTTTTGCCCCATCTCCTCCGGCGCGACCTCCAGATCCGGGGACCAATCATGGCCCTCCGTCACGGGGGGGGGGGGGGGGGTCACCAGTTTCTTGCACCTTCTCCTGCAGACGCATGTGTGAGGGCCAACTCTATCATACCAGAACGCCATTATCTACATCCTGCCCTTCCATAAAATCTGCACACGGCCCAACCAATTCATCAGTATAAGACCCTTCGGATTAAATAAAACATGTTCAGTTCTGTTTTGGTCAAGCTCTGAGTCTATCATTTCGTTACTCGTTACTCCATACCTCAACGACATATACGTATCTCCGTTGAATAAAACTTACTGTACTCGCGACGGTTGTGTAACTGACCATTTTATTATTTTCCGGGCTATTTATTTTCCTGCCTTCGCCGATGCGAATCCTAGTGTTATCTTTTTCTAAACTGCAGAGGAAAGACACAACTAGCAAGCAATTCGTAAAATTGTAGATATGAAATTCGGCAGGAAGCGATCAGGTCTCTTTGCCAGTCCAGTTCTCTATAAGCGCATTTCCTCTCGGTCCAACTACCTTGCACAGTATACGTGTATTTTCGATTTGTCTGGTTCCTTAGCGCATAATACGCGCATCTAGAATTGCTTCGGTTACCTACGCTCGACACGTGTAATCTGTATCAGAATATGCATAGGACTCTTATAGACATCGATTTTTCGTCCATTTTAGGTCTGAACGTCTTACGAGCTCAAATAGACTTCTTTAAGACATCTTATTTCAGACGTTGAAACGACGTCCGAAACAAAACTATTTAAGGGTGTCTGCATCGAAAAACATCTTTAAGACACTTGAAATATGTCTTTGTAGGTGTCGGCACATTTCTTACAAACATTTGATTAACCAATCAAGTTTTATATATACTATTGCTAATTTAATAAGAATTAGCTTCTTAACATCCTCCTACCTGTTATCCCTATTTTTACGTTTCCTACAAATGATCTGCAAACGACCTCTAATAATGAATAAACGTGCAGGCGAATTTTGCCTAATTATACCCTATTACCTTAGTTAGTNGTTATCCCTATTTTTACGTTTCCTACAAATGATCTGCAAACGACCTCTAATAATGAATAAACGTGCAGGCGAATTTTGCCTAATTATACCCGATTACCTTAGTTAGTCTTTTTTTATTATTGTCATTGAAATTACTGATTCCACTCTTGACTCATCCTCGATCTCTGTCCTTGCTGCATCATATTTGAATTTTTGCCTCGCCACATCATCTTCAAAACTAAATGTTAGATATATTAAGGGATGTGGCCACTTTGAAATTTAAAAAAATTGAATTTTTTTGTCTAACGTAGGAGTTTGAAATGTTAAAAATAAATCACAAAATATTCCAGCCTTTTAAAAAAATTGCTTTTATAAATAAGAAACCTGTAGCTGATTCGTATACGTGCGTGCCGTAGTGTTAAGATATGACCGGGATCAAGATCCCACGGTACACGGCGGAGAGTGCTCCGAAGCGGAGCACCCATCCGCGCTTCGTGAGCCTGCCAAGTTTCGCGAATAGCGACCCGACCTTGTCGCTTATGAACTGGAAGTGATATCGGACAACCATGCCCCTATCCAGGTGGACGTCTAGGTACCTAACGGTGGGTTTGAATTTGATATGCTATATCTGTATATCCGCTGCGATGGGCCATCGTCTCGGATTTGCGGTCGGACACTTCTAACTTTGCTAGTTTGCACCAATCTAGGAGCTGGTCAACAATTCGTTGACCCACGATCTCTACGTTTCTTCGGCTCTTACCACTTACGAGGACAATGAGGTCGTCCGCGTAAGCAACGAATCCATTCTCAACTGAGGTCTCGAGCGACTTCAGGAGACCGTCGAACATCAAGTTCCAGCACGCCGGTCCAAGGATGGAGCCTTGTGGCCACACCCTCGTCGCGTGTTTGGAGATCCTTTCTGTTCCTACGGTAGCTTGTAGACGATGTCCCAGGGCTCCGTGTTCCCGTTCGACGTGACAAAGTTTTGCCAGCTCCCGAGTTTCGCCCTCTTCACCTTCCTGCTATAGTCCCGTAACGAAGTGCGGTACTGTCGCAGTTTTTGAAGGCGGGAGGGTTCTTCTCTCTCTTTCTGGAAGGCACGTCTCTGACGATAAACGGCCTTTTTGAGCTTGGTCATATCTTTTGTCCAGCGCGGGTTAGACTTCCTAAATCTACGTTTTCTGGGCATTAATGCGGTGCAGGCATTAGTGATGATGTCTGTAAGCGTCTTTGGCATGCTACCGGTTCCCTCCGCCGACTCCAGGCTCAGGACTTCGAGCCTCGATCGTGAAAGATTGGACAGGATCTCGGAGAACCGCTCCCAATCAGCTCGACGTGTGTCGAACCGAGAGTTCGCGCTGCTGCGATTTCCTGTCGCGGCCCTAGGTGCCCGCAGTCTGATGTCGACGGCGTTGTGGTCGCTAGTGGCCCACTCGCTTCTCACACTTCAGTCCCTGATAAATAGGGACATCGATGGGGATGCCAGGGTAACGTCGATGTATGCCGATCCTGTTGGCGTCCAGAAGATGGGTAGCTGGGTAGCGTCACACGCATTCATAACATTTAATCTAAACGCGGAAATTAAGTTTTCTAATTGCGCGCCTTTTTCGTCTGTGTTTTGCTGGCTCCAGAACGAAGATTGCGCTTTCGCGTCTATTGAGATTAAAATTCTCTTCCCCCTCATTGCAAGGAGTACCGCTTCAAAATGCCTGAG